CACACACACACTCACACACACTCACACACACTCACACACACACTCACACACACACACTCACACACACACACACACACTCGCCCTGCGGCCCAGACGCCCTACTGGCAAGAGGAGGGCGCCGGCCACTTTGTCCACCCCAAGCTGCACTCGGGAGGAGGCGAGATGGCTTTCTGCTTCCCCTCTGTGAAGATGATCAAGAGGGCGACGGCATCAAAGCGAGCGGTAATTTACTCCGAGATGCGCCCGGCGCCCCGGCAGAGACTGCATGCTGCGTGTTATTAACGGTGAGCACAAAAAACAGGAGTCAATGGAGAAAGAAAGAGGCGGAGACAAATAGAGAACGTCAGGGGGAAAGTGGGAGCTGGAAGCTGAAATATTTTAAAAGCCAGGTCTCCTCTGTACAAGCGGCTGAGGAAACATGCTGCACAGACGCCCTCCACGAGCACTGCGAGCCTCACTGCGAGTCTCGGCCGGTGTGGACTGCCCCGGAGTAGGAATTCTTATTCACGTCACTCTCAGAAAATGGCCTAAGCAATGTTAAAAACAGTCATCTTTAGGTGTTCAGATTCAATTTATTGTTTACCTTGCAAACTGATTTTCTAACGGTAGGAAACAGGCTGATTTCCCGGCACACTGTGAGCATGGGTGTGCGGTGGGCCCTGCCAGGCAGCTGCCCGTGGCCCCGAGCCTGAACCCCTCCTAAGAGGAAATAATTACAAAATTCATCATTCAAACCCAGAAAATGCTCTCCTCCCCCAACACGTGGGTGACTAACCTGGACACTTAGGAAAGCCAATGTCAGAACGAGTTCGACTTCATTCCTGAGGAACCCAGCCTCCCTGGGACTGGCACCCAAGAATATCTGATTAGACACAAACCAGGAATCCTTTCTGAAACAATACCTGCTTCCTCACTCTGCTTCTCTGAAGCAGAAATCATTAGCACAGCACAGCCTTTTGGGGCCACACACGGTGGCGCACGCCTGTAGTCCCAGCACTTGGGAGGCTGAGGCAGGAGGATCACTGCAAGTTGGAGGCCAGCCTGGGCTACCAAGTGAGTTCAAGACTAGCCTAAACTGTGCATCAAAACCCTGCCTCAAAAAGACAAAAACAAAAACCTTTGGAGAGGGCTGGGGATTTAGCTCAGCGGCAAAAGCGCCTGCCTGGCATGCGCAAGGTCGTGATTTCGCTTCCTGGTACCAGAGAAGAACCAAAAAAAAAAAAAAAACCTTTGGAGAGCCTGGCACCAAGTACGTCTGTCCCTCGCCTGTGGGCATTAAGTGGCAGCTCCCAAAATACTGAGTAAAAACACAGCACGGCTGTGCTACTCCCCAAAAGGCTCCTGCTCCCGTGCCCACCTGTGTTTATAACAGCAGTGGACAGAACACAGAGCCAGCGTGGGCTCAGGGGGTCACCTTCAAACCCCATGGTAACGAAGGGCGCAATAGAGCCCGCGCCATATTCACCGACTTCTGCACGTGGGCGGTGGCCGGCGCCAGCGTGCCCAGCTGGAATTCCGTCAGCAGCTGTGATACACATAGTCCAGCAAACACACTCAGGGGGCAAGCACTCCCACGAGCGCCCGCCCGCTCCTGCCACAGCACGGCACAAGCTCACACTCGGTCCAGGCAACACCCGGGCTCGTCCGATCAGAAGAGCTCACGCACCTCGTGCAACGGAAATGCCACCAGGAGCGCCGTGACTGTAACAGCAGACACCGTGATGCACGCAGAGGGCAGTGTGTAAATACAGAGGGGCGTGAGGATTCTGGGGGGTGCTTGTGTAAATACAGAGGCGAGCTCGGCTAGCGAGGTCTGCTGTGACCTTCAATGTCCTTCACCCTATCCCGCCTCATGATACCTAAAGAAAACAGCCAAAGTCCCAAAACTCACACAGACAGGACGGGAACAGCGAGGACGAGGAGAGGGCTGCAGGCCTGGCCGCCGCCTCCTCCAGGCAGACGACACTCAAGAGGCGGCTCCTCTTCTCACTCTGTCTGGACAGGACAGGTTACAGGGCCACGGTGCTCGCACAGGACTCCGGAGCCGGGCGTGGGGCGGCATCCATCCCCGGATGTCTCACCCAGGTTTCCCCCAGCGCGCGCACGGAGCGCATGCGCACGTGGTGCTGGCGGCTCCTGGAGCACAAGGCGCGGGTTCTCCTTGTCCGAGGTCCCCGCGCAGCCCCACGCACCGAGGGCCGAGCCGGCCCCGCCCCGCCCGCTGGAAAGAGGCTTTATCTCCCGCTCCCGCCCACAGCCGTCGCTCCGCTGTCCCTGGCCGGCGTGCGGGCAGACACAGCCCTCGCACCCTGGGGACGAGGGCCCCGTGCGCTCACGCACCCTTCCAGGGCGGCTGAGCTCCCGGGCAGACTCCGTTCCCAGCGGCCCCGCCAAAGCTCGGGACGAAAGGACACGGGAATCGGCCGCCACGCAGGGCTCATCACGGCCACGGCCTCGGCTTCCCGCGAGCCCCAGACCTTCCATGTCGCCGTGCCCGGTGCCAGCCCGCAAACATCCAGGAACACTCCGAGAGGAGCCCACTTCTAGCTGGAGTGACGAGCAGAGGTGGGGTCGGGGTCTCTTCCACCCCGGGACAGACGCCGGCCCAGGACCTCAGTGAGCGGCAGGCTGAACCCGTTTCCCAGCCCTGTGGGCAGGCGGGGCACACGGAGGACCGCACGGCTCCTCCGCCCGAGGGCCTGGCGGCCGTGTCTTCAGAAAGTAGCGCTCAGACCCACCCGGGGCCACCCGCAGGTCCCCACGGACCCGAGCCGGGCTGCGGCTACTCGGCCTGGGCGGCCTGCTGGACGGGGGCCCCGAGTGGGGCCGACCAGTGGGCCCAGGCGGGCAGCTCGTGCTGCAGCGGAGTCCGGCGGGGGTAGAAGGTGTGGTGCACGTCGTAGTTCAGGAGGCAGCTCAGGGACGCCATGTAGATGTCCGCAAAGCGGGACAGGCGCCGCAGGAAGTAGGTGGGGTTCTGGTCCGTGCGGAACAGGCTGCCGAACTGCGCGTTGAAGAAGCTTTTGGTCATCTCTCTGCAGCCGCAGGTGGGGAAAAGCCACAGAATGATTTTTATTTTTTTGAGTTGTCTAGTGTTAGGGTTGTTACTCTCTAACTTCCGCTTTTATCAGTGTGCATTTGCAGTACCTCATGATGCCGTTCAGCGTGGGGAGCGGTACACATACATGACACAGGATTTTTACATTTACTTAGTTGGCTAAGGTTTTTTAAGACAGGGTCTCACTATGTATTCCAGGCTGCCTCAAACTCACTATGAACTCGTGGTGATCCTCCTGTCTCAGCCTCATGAGTGCTGAGATTAGACATGAGGCACAACACCCAGCCACACGATTTTTTTCTTTTTTTAGTAGCTCAGGCCAGCTTTGAACTCACTATGCAGCCCAGGCTGGCCTGGAACTGGTGGCAATCCTCCTGCCTCAGCCTCCTGAGTGCTAGGATTACAGGTGTGCGCCACCACGCCCAGCACCACATACCATTTTTAAAGGCTTTAATACTGAAATCAAAACCTCTTTTGGAGCAGGATTCATGAGAGAAAAATTAGCGAGAGCAGCCCTAATTTCTTATTAAGAAAAATGTCTGTCCATCCGGCTCTCAAACTGACCCTAGCCACAGTTCCCATATACAGCAGCCGAACTGACAGTTTCAAGGCCCCAGACTCAACCCTTTTATATCCCCAAAACAGAGGGCAGAGCCGCTTTGGAAGATACCAGAGAGACACAGCGAAGTTCCCCACCTCTCTCTAAATCTCCCTTGCCTGTGGAATGGGATTGAAACCTATTTTCTGACCCGGTGTGGCGGTGCACGCCTGTGATCCCACCATTTGGAAGGCTGAAGCAGGAGGACCACTGGGAGTTCAAGGCCACCGTGGAGTTCCAAGAAAGACACAATAAAACAAAAAACAAACACAAAATCTGCCACTCTCACCTCATCTCCTTTCTCTCCTTCTTCCACTCCTGAAGAACCAGCTGCGACTCCGCGTCTCTGTGAACCTGTGGCAGAAGCCAAACATCAGACGGTGTGGGCTTGAATTAAGGAGCAGCAAGGAAATCTCCTAACGGGGGCTTTCCCTAGGGCACACTGCGTGAAATGACACATGTTCACACCCCCCAGCTGAAATCCCCCGACTACAAAAATAAACAAAATGGCTTTCCATACCCATCCTCTGAACCTGTTCAACAGATGGAATTATGAAGCTATCAGACTATTACTAAAAGCTATGTATGAACGTAACACATATGAATCTTCATCAATGTGTGTCTAAGCCGAGCAATTTGTCACTACACACATGTATGACACACACTTATGTGACACGGAAGCGGAAGGAGCGTGCAGTGGTCACATGCTAACAGCAGGCATGTAAAGATGCGGTGCATTTGCAAATGAAATGCTACACATGCAACTTCTTTATAAATTTGTACAAGGGTAGAAGCTCCCTGCCCTGGGCACTGTGGACCGATGCTTGCATCCCCCAAATTCCTAAGTAGAGCCCCACAGGCCACATGATGCCCTAAGGTGTTAGGGCCCCCCGAGGCGGCAGTCTGGAGGGTGGGACGGCCCTCGTGGAGGAGGCCTGGAGCTCCAAGGAGCTCCCCTCACCACAGCCGGCCAGGGCCCCCACCCAGGATCTGCACCCCTTCCGGGGGACACTCCACTTGTGACACCCGCTTGGGCGCCGTCCCTCTGCTTCCTGCTGGCCCTTGGTTGGGAGGGCAGCCAAGGCCGCTGAGGGAAATGCGGAGGAGGACCGGTCCAGGGAAGCGTCTGCACAGGGCACACCTGGCTGTAGGCTGTGTGCCTGGCTGGGGTCCCCTCAGCCCCCGCACCCCAACAGCACCCACACGTGCCTCCCCTCCCTGGGGCCTTTCTGCACCCCGTGCCTTCTCTCCACCCCTCACCTGGACCCCCGCGGGCCCTGACACCTGCTTCTCCCCCAGGCCCTCCTCAGGGGAGCCTCACGGAGTCACCCTCTGATCCCCGTCTGGACACCCAGTCGCACACTCCTGTCCCGTTCATCAGCCGCGGCACCCGACCATCAGACGCCACTCAGAGGACAGACTTCCCTCCTCGTGAACAGCGCCCTGCGGGCTCTGCAAACAGGCCCGCGGAGCGCTCCAGGACCGCAGGCACGTCCCCGGCCCCAAGCCCCAGGCTCATCCTATTTGGAAACTGCTCCCCCAGCACGGGTGGCCGTGACCACTCGGAGTGAAAGCACAGCGCCAGCGCCCAGCAGAGGGGCGGCCGGCGTCGTGTGGCACTGCTCAGCTCCTGGGCCACGCTGACCCTCAGGTGATGCCTGGCACCTCATCTCGCAGGCAAGCACAGCAGGAGCTCTCTGCAGGGACAAGCGGAGGCCGGGCACAGGCGGCCCGGGGGGCCAGGCCCGCAGACGTGCCGGGGCCCACGCGCTGCGAGGGACCTGCTTGGAGCCAGCTGCTGGACGCGGCTGCTGGCTGGCCGTCGCAGGGTGCCCTGCCTGCTTCCAAAGCTGCTGGCAGGACAGCGTGGGCACCGCCTGTGGGCACCGCCTGTGGGCACCGGCTGCAGGGCGGCAGCCAAGAGAGCAGCGTCCACGCTCCTTTGTGCGAAGGAGGCGGCCCTGGGCCGAGGGGGCGGGGACACTCAGGCCCGAGGAGGAGGCAGGAGAGGTGGGACGCGCTCACAACGGCATCCACGGGCCGGAGACGGCTGGCGACAGGACGCCCTCGCGCACAGCCTGCACGGCCCCATAGCCCACAGTGCCAAGAGCCTGCGCCGCGCCCAGGACAGCGGGCGCTACCGCTGAGTTCTACAGCACACGCAGGCCGGACCCAGACACCTTGGCCGCGGCTCTGACTTTCCAGGAAGCCCCGTGCCTAACGTGTTCCTGGCACAGACCCTTCACTTACACATGGGGAAACTGAGGCCCAGAACAGAGATGTCCCACAGCAAGATAAGGCAGGCCCGGGCCCGGGCTCCAGCGTGACACCGCATGCCCCAGCATGATGGAGTGTGGGGACGGGGCCCCGAATGCCGCCAACAGCGGTGAGGAAACAACACCCGCGTCTTCCGGGGCGCCACCCCGACCCTCCACAGGGCTGCAGCAAGCAGCGCCAAGGTCCCTTCGAGGAAAACGCCACCGCAACCTCCAGTTACCCGTGGTCCTCGGAGGGCAGCCTCAACCGCACGCTCCAGGACTCCAACTACACGGAGAGCGGGTGACGCCTCCTTACCAGCTATCCTCGCGTTTAAGGCGAAGCCAAGAAGCGGTGCCCACCTGCATCTGCTCCAGCAGCCCGGTCAAGGTCTGCAGCCAGGTCACGGTCTGGACGTACTGCTCCGTGTTCATGATCCTGAGCTCTGACCTCAGCTCGGGGATGATGGCGCCCGTCCTCCAGCCGTGCTTCAGGGTCAGGTCCTGATGACAAAGGCCACAGGACGTCAGCACCACCCCAGACACTGGGAACCATTTCACAGCCCTTCCCGGGGCGGGGCTGGAAGGTTCATTTAAATGGCTTTAATCACGGTTCATTATTAACCAAGCCGTGTTAAATGAGTTGCACACTTCTTAAAAGACCTGGAAAGCTCCGGCTCTGTGAATCACAGCGCCTGAGGAAACACAAGGTTTGCGGAAAAAACATAACAACAACAAAAAACACAGGGTTTGGAATCATTAGCCATGCTCTGGGAAGAAACAAAAACAAAAACAAGGGAGCGCAGAGAGGGTCCCCTAAATACTGGCAAAGGTTCTCATTCAAGAACACAGGCCATGCCAGGCATGGAGGCGCATGCCCGTAGTCCCAGCACTCAGGAAGGAGGCTGAGATAGGAGGATCGCTGTGAGTTTGAGGCCAGTCTGGGTTCATTGTGAGTTTAAGGCCAGCCTGAACTATACGGCAAAAAAGAAAAACTGCAGGTCACACAGGCCTCAGGGAGCCCTGCAGCGAGCTCCAGGGTATGGCACAGAGCGCCAGGCTGGCAGTCGAACGTAAGCAGCCACAGGCACATCTCCCATTCCCGGTAGCATAACCCCACACCAGACCACAGGGCAGGACATCTAAGGCTGCTTTGTGTGGAAAATCTAAGCAACGCGGCCGCAGTACTAACTGGCCAGGCACCTGCCCACCGGGCACACGATTAGCAAGTGCTCTTCTCCAGCTCCTATTCTAGATCCTGAGGATGAAGCCATGAACAACAACGAACGACGAACTCCTGCTTTCACAGGAAACAAGCAGGAGAGTAAATACACAGCAGCCGGTGAACACAAGCACAAGGGTCAACGGTCAAAGAGAACAGGGGTGAGGAGGGCAGGGAGGGAGACCACTGCGTCACTGAGGTATTCAGGAAGAGCAGGCGAATAGAGGACGTCTGAACGAGATCTAAGGCAAGAAGAGGAAGTGGATGCGAGGGAGGGAGAGAAAGGGTCTGGCTTAGAAAAGAGCAAGCGCAAAGGCCCAGGGGCAAGCAGAGGTGGGGGTGGCTGCGGAGAGGCCGGGTGGGGAGAGGAGACGCCAACAGCGCGGCCGTGGGTCCCGGCTGTTACACTGAGGAAGAAAAGGAGACTTTGGGGTTTTGCTCCCTAAGGCTCAACCCATCTCCTTCCGGTTAAATCTTTTAAACCTTTTGATATTTCTCTACGTAGGATATGTGAGAACCTGCGGCGCATTCTTCTCAGCATTCCCAGCGGGGGCAAGCTCTGGAAGGCGGGTGCCACTGCTAAAACGTAACAGGAGTCACCTGGCTGGGGTCCCCTCGGGGGACCCTCGGTTCAGTGCACACACTGAAGTGCACGACGACACGATAACAAGGCCTGTTTCTCGCAGGGCCTTGAGCCGGCTCTCAGACCTACCCCAGGGGGAGCGCCCCCAAGCTCGGTGAAGGCGCCCTCAGAGACAGCAACCGCGGAGCTGGTGGCGGCCACCACCCTCCTCCAACACCGCTCTGTCACCGGGCTTCCAGACCCAAACACAACAGCTGGGACCGAGGATCGCTAACAGGTACAGACTCGGCCCTGCAGGAGCCAGGGCGGCCTGGGATCTGACAGCCCACCTTGCTCCCAGCGTGGGTTCAGCTAGTTCCCGGCCTGCGCCCTGGCCCGGAGGTGCGTCTGCGTCCTGAGGGGTGGGGGCCGCACCGCCCGGCTGACCACCACGAGCTTTTGCGCTTCTACGGTCTTGAAGGCAAAGGAAGAAGCCGCTGGCGGTTACATCCTGTTCTACTTGCAGGAGGAACGCTTTTCTGATCAACAGAGTAAGTTTCTAATTTCCATCGCTTTTCTGCAGCTCTGAGCTACCACGTTCTGTTAAAGGAGACGTTTAAAAATGTGGCCCACTCCAAGTTCTCATAAAAGCATAAACACAACCTTAAACAAAGGTGCAAGCGCTAAATATGTGAGCCTCACTCATCTTTTCCCCCGCAAATGAGAGAGAACGGGCCACTCACCGCCAGGTCGCTGTATATGTGGTCACCAAAATACAGCACTTTGGAGCCTCTCCAGCCAGTGAGCTTCAAAAACTCGTATAAATTGCCCTGTAACGTGAGAGAAATACAGACGTAGCAAACGACAGAAATGGTGCAGAGTGTCTATTTCTAAAAATGGCTGAAGTTGGCTTTGCTTTTTAACTAGGTTCTTGCCCTAGTTCTTTCTTTTTTTTTTTGATACTGGGAATCAAACTGAGAGCCTTGCCTCAGTTTGTGCCACTGAGCTATATCCCCGGCCCTGGCTTTGCCTTTTAATTTACCTGAAATACCAAAATGTAAGGATGAAAGCACCTTCTAATCTTTTAGACTTGGCCTGTGTATCAGTGTACTTCTCAGAAACGTCTCATACCATAAACGCCTCCCGGAACTACCTTGTTCAATTAACACCCTATAACCAACTTTGAGATGAACACCCTATAACCAATGGATTTATCTCTATGCAGATAAATATTCATCCACTGTCCCTAGAGAAGCTGAAAAGCAGCATGATCTCTTCTACCAATGCCCTCATGCTGACCACCACTGACACCACTGACACCAACACATACTTTCGAGTTACTTTGTGATAAATATTCTTATAGAGAAGTTTTATTAGGTCAATCTTAATTTTTTTTTTTTTTTTTGTCTTTTTGAGACAGGATCTCGCTATGCAGTTCAGGCTGGTCTTGAGCTCACTTTGTAACCCAGGTGGTCTTGAACTTGCAAGGATCCTCCTGCCTCAGCCTCCTGAGTGCTGGGATTATAGGTGTGTGCCACCACGTCTGGCGGTGAATCTTAATTTTCCTAGGCTAATTTTCTAGAAGTGAAATGGTGTATCAGATCTAATTTTTCAAGATCTGGAAAAATATACTTTCTGACAAATCCAACAGGTTGTTATAAACCACCTAGAACATATCAGTATTAAAAAAAAACAAATAAAAATATGTAAATATTTAAAAGAAACTAACTTCAGTAACATAATAATGGTCAGCAATTCATTCTTGGAAACACTTCAGAATCTTATATGACAAAGTTTGTTAAAGCTGTACATAAAACATATCTCATGGGGAGATAATCATGGATCGGGGTGTATAATATGCCACGGTGAATGCTCCTTAGAAATTTCTAGTTACCTATGAGCATCTTAAATTTGACATACTATGACAAGTCATGTTTTAATTTTGTTTTTAAAGAACTGCTCCCTTTTGAGTTATTTCATATTGTAACTGACGCTGGTGGGAGCCCCAGCTACAAGCCGAGGATTCCAGGGGCCTCGGGCCGGCCGCTCCGGCCGCAGGGAGGAAGAGGGAGGGAGGTACCTGCTTGTAGATCTGGCCCTTCTGCAACTTGTGGATTTTATCCCACAGCAGGACGCCCTTCTCATTCACCTTTCGGAAAGGTCTGGAGACGGAAATGGGAAACGTTACAACACAGGGCAGCTGTGGGCGCCACCAATGCCACCTGTTACTCGCGGGCGACAGCAAGCGCTCCTCCACCGCCTGCCCTGCCCGGGGCGCACGTGCGGGCCACGCGACTCCACTCTCTGCAGGTGTCCCCGGGCCCCACGCCCGCTGGTCACACACCACCCCCAGACGCTGGTCCAGGTGTTCCTCTCCAGCCAGCCCGCCCGCTCCTGCTCTCACTAAGCGCAGGTTAGGGTTAGCCTGCTCTCATCACAGCCGTCCAGGTCAAAGGTGAAGTACGGGTGAAGTCAGCACGGACGCCCTGGGTCCATCCCCGGCCCACCACGGTGCAGCGCCAGGACAGCAGCCGCCGGGCACCCCCAGGAGTCCACACAGCAAGGCGAGGTGTGCTTGCGGCTTCGGATCCCTTCGCTCTCTTAGCCCCACCCTACATTCTTTCCTCCCCACACGAGGTTTGGGGTTGCGGCTCCTTCCAGGCATCTCCGGGACCCCAGAATTTCAGCCAAGAAGGCTGCCTGGCCACCAACTTCAGGCGAGAGAAGTGTGAGTGAAAGTGTTCCCAAGCCGGCCATGTTCCAAGTGGAGGACTTCTCAAGCCCACGGACACTGGGGGCGCGGGGGCAGATGATGACAGGCACCTCCCGCTGCCCTTCCCTTCTGAGAAAGCTCTGTCTCCCTACTTCCTGTTATCCACCTCACTTGGCTCTTTATTCATACTCCAGGTTCCTCAGGTATGAGAAGGCATGGGATACTGAAGCTCGTGTCTCTGCTTTACTGAACATTACCGTCCCGAGGTGCCTCCATTTTCCTGAAAATAACTCACATTTATCCCTCTTTATGGCACAGCAGTGCTGGGCTGTACATAAATACCACTCTTCTTCTCCACTCATCCACTGATGGGCACACAGGGGCCCAAGCGTGAGCACTGTGAGCGTGCTGTACCATGGCTGCGCGTGGGTCGCCGCAGCGCAGTGACTTCCTGGTGCCCGCGGAGACACCTGGAAAGGACTGGCCGGGTCACGCGGAGCTCCTGGGTTCAGTTTGCTGAGGACTCACCATACTGATTTCCACCCTGGTGGCTCCAGGCCACGTTCCCGCCAAGAGGGCAGATGCCTTCCCCGCCACCTCGCCCACCCCGCAGCCGGGGCAGCATCTCTTATGATTTCTTTTATTTCTTAAGCCTCACAAAGAGTCTGTAGCCGAAGACCTGGCTGGTCATTTCTGTCACGTTCTCACTGCCCGACTGCTGGGTCTGCAGCGGCCCGGGGGCACCGAGAACCGGCTCTCCGTGCCAACCCCGCCATCCCACCATGCTGTGGATCACCATGCGAAGGCAGGGCGCCAGATCCACAGCTGAGACACGGCCGGCTTTCACCACGCGCGGCCCCGGGGTCCGCGCCCGAGGGAGGCGACACTCACCTGCGCCTGTCGTTGAAGAAGTTGGGCTTCTCGGCCTGCACGATGACCACGTCGAACAGGTCCCTCCAGTCCTTCCCGACGATGTACCGCATCCCTCTGTCCCTGGAACAACAGGCGGCCGCGTGGCCCAACGTGAAAGGGTTGAACTATTTTGCAACTATTTCTTCCCAGTTTCCCACTGCTACAGTGAACAGCAGAAAGTACAACAGATACTGAGAAAGGGAAAGAAACCGCTCAGAAGGAAAGAACAACTGGGATGGGGAAAAGGAGAAAAGAAAGAAGGGGGAAAAATATATATATATATACACAATATAGCTAAGATAACTGTACTACTGATTTCTATGAGTTCATTGAAAGGAACAGTTAACGCCTAGTTGTTTGATCCATTTTACTATATCGGGTAATCTGAGTAACTACTTTGAAGACAACCATATGCAATATAACAACCATTGTTAATTACCTATCATCCTGTTTTGAAATTATGTATCATTTTTGGTTTTTTTAAATTTTCTTTAAAATAAAAAAGAAGAAGAAGAGGCTGCAGGCGGCGGGAAGCTCGGGACACTCACACAAAGCTGCTGGGGCTGTTGGTGATGAGAAACATCTTCTTGCCGTGATCCGCCAGCTTGGCCAACACCGCGCGGGTCTGCTCCGCGTAGCAGATGTACTTCTCTAAGAGCAGAGACAGACTCTCAGGCCGGGCAGGAAGTCGGCGGGCCTGCGAGCACTTGGTAAAGGGGGTGGCATCACGCTAGGCACAGTGGGGAGTGGAAGTCTTAAGAAAGCTTGGTTCTGGGGTGCAGGATGCCAGGGCACAGAACAGAGACCCCACTCCTGGAACTACACGGGAGGAACTAAGGGGCTGTGGCCACCCGCTTCTCCACAGAGAGGGAGACCTGCACAAAGCCAGGGTCGGGGCTCCGCCTAGCGCGGGAAAGAGACGCCCGCAGCCCCGGGACACAAAGTCTTGCCCACAGGGGAGCGAGGAACACGGCCTGTTCAGGACCTACCGATGTCCGCCTCGATGGCTCTGTACATGATGCCTTTGATGTGGACGTCACGGATGGAGTCCTGCCAGAGACACAGGGCATGAGCGACCGTGGACGTGGCCAGCACTGGAGTCAACATCTCTCCCCAGGAGCTAGCAAGCCTCGCACTCAGCAAACCCAAAGCCTGTCCCGTCTGCACAGGCGGCCCCCTGGGCAACTTCCAGGCTCACCTGGAAGAGGTCGCCCATGGGAGTGACTCCGAATCAAATCCCTCAGGGCAGACCTCAGCCACCTGCAGGAAGAGCCCGGCTCCATGCACCTCTGCCCCTCCCTGCCCTCCCTCAGCCCCAACAGGACTGAGCGCCCGGATGCAGACAGACGGCGGACAGCAGAACCCGTCCTGAGGCGCCACCAACGGGCGGGGCCTGTCACAGAGCCCGCCCCTCGCAGAGAGGTGACCTGACTGATAGACGAGGGCAGACGGGGCGGCGGAGGAGGAGGGGGCTGGACCTGCGCAGGCTCGGGGGTGGCAGCCGCATCTCGTGCCAACTCAGAGCCCAGTAGTGAAGGGTGAACACATAGGAAACTTTCTGCTGCCAGGAGCAGAGGCCTGACCTGCAGGCAAAATCACCTATGCCTGGGCGGCTGGAGAAGGAGCCATGGTTAAACACAAGCAACTGCTCGGCTCTCACACCTGGGCTGTGCTGCCTACAAGCTGTGTGAGCTGGGGCAGGTTAGGCAACCTCTCTGTGCCGGGGGGATGATGTCATGGCAGCTACTCCTGACATCATCAAAGTGTCTGGTGAGCTGACGCACACAACGCTCAGCGGCCGGGGCCAGTAACACGGCCCGCAAATAACTGAGCTCTCAGTGAGCACCTCCCAAGAATGCTGGGGTTCCCACCGCGATGCTTACACGTGAAGGGCCTGTGTGCAGAGAGGAGAGCAGAAGCTAAAGATTTAAACTGAGCCCAGTGTGGTGGCCCACGCCTGCAATCCAGCACTCGGGAGGCTGAGGCAGGAGGATCAACAGCATGGGCTACACTGTGAGACCCTGCCTCAGAAAAACAACATCACTAAATAAGTAAGAATTTAAATTTAGCTCAGACAATAGCAGACTGACATTGAGAAACTACAATTCATCCTTCTTCACCTTTCCTAAATTCCAGGATTTGGGAGAGCAGAAACTTTACTCATAAAAGGAAGAAAAATATATTTTTGGTTTCTATGTATCTTTTTAGAATATACACATGTTAAGTAAATCTATATAAATATACACCCTAAGTATTATATAGTACAAGTACATATAAACATACATCAAGCAAATAACATTAAAACATTTTTAGATACTGAGAAAGTTCCTACCGTCTAATGAAGGTGAAGAAATATGTACACAGATGTGGTCAGAATATAAGTTAAAACATATAAATGCGACTCTATATGGCAGAAGGTTCTGTCTACACCCTGCCCCCCATGGGACTCTTATGTGTTTGTTTGTTTTTTTTAAATTTTGGTTTGTTTTGATTTGTTGAGACAGGATCTCGCTATGTAGTGCAGGCTGGTCTCAAACTCACTATGCAGTCCAGACCTCAGATTCATGGTGATCCTCCTGCCTCAGCCTCCTGTGTGCTGGGATTACGGGCATACATGACCACCATGCTCAGGAAAACCTAACTTTTTAAAAGCCCTGCCCCAAGCAACTCCCAGGAAGCACCAGGGTGCACGGGGCACTCAGCAGGCGGCAGCACCTTGACGTCCTTGTACAGGTGCACCGGTTCATAGTCAATGTTGTTCTTCAGGAAATGCTCGTTCACGCAGGACAGCAGCGTCATCTCCGGGAGGGAGAAGATGTCCATGAACTGCTTCATGGTGTTACCATGGGAACTCTGCAGACAGAAGGAAAGGCTGGACTCAAGGACGGGGGAGTAGGGGGTGAGAAGGTTTCCGGTGACCAACAGGACCTGAGTGGTCCACAAAAGAGATCTGAATATATAGAAACAGGGCATCTCAATAAGGAGCAAAATTTCCCAGGCAAGGCTGCAACTCGGGACCCTCCTGCCTCAGCCTCCCAGGGTGCAGGGTATACTACGACGCCCGGCTAGGAGACTGTAATAATAAAGACGTAGAGTGTTCACCTTGTTTCTCACCCTTCACAGCACAGTGGGCGTCTTACCCAGGGGAGACGGAGGTGAGTGTGGCCCTCCCCGCCCCTTCTCCCCTCTGGGTGCCCACCCCACGCCCTGGTCCCACTCAGGACAGAGGACCCAGGCTGTGGCAAGGGCAGCAGGGCTTAGTCCCTGGCACCCACACCGACAGCCCCTAGCGGCCACCCCAGAAAGGGGACCTGCCTTGAGGGGCAGTGACGAACAGCAAAGGTGGGGTGGCGGGAGGAGCAAAGGAACCTGGGGACTCCGCCCAGGAGCCTCTCTGCCCAGTCCCTGGCGCGGTCTCAGAGGCCACGCGGCCACCGCATCTGCTGCCCCTCCGCGGCCACCCTCCCAGAGGAAGCGCTGCCCTCACCTTCCCGTAGAAGTCGCTCATCTGCTCCAAGGGCACGTGTGACCCCTCATACATCTCGACGACCTCCTCGTCGGGGACCACGCTGAGGCCTCTGGAAAAGCAGACGGCGCCATCAAAGCCGGCCCAGGGACCACGGGGGGACTCTGGCCACCGCTGGGATTGTCCGCCAGGGAGGAAGACGCTGTGGTCACCGTGAGGCGGAATCTGCCACCACAGGGGCCAGAACAGCGACACCGGGCGCCCTGCCGGGCAGGGACAGGAAGTGCTCGCTTCCCAGCCCTCCCCGCGGGCCGCGCTGCTGCTCCTCCCGTCTCCTGGCCCGGCCACCAGAGGCACAGGAAGTCCAGAGCGCAGGGCCAGGCTGGCCAGGGACGGCTCCGGGCGCCGTTTTGTTAATGCAGAGCGAGGGTGAGAGGCTGCCGCCTGGGACGGGCGCTGGGGGAGAGGGCAGGTGCCAGGGCAGGAAGCGCCGACACCGTGCCCAGCTTCCTCGTGCCAGGGTGAAGCCGTACCCGCCACCTGCCCCCTCAGGGTCTGCCGAGGAACCCGGCTCCTCCGCGCTTGAGGAACGAGCGGTGACAAGGACACGGCAGCACCGGCCGCGCCCGAAAGCCACGCTGCGCCTCGGCAGCAGGGACAGGGACCGACGGGGACTGTATCACTGACACGGCGGGCTGACTGCCTCAGAGCGGCCTGCGCGTTGATATTACGCTTAAGGAACATCATTCGTGGCCGGCTGTGGTGGTGCACACCTACAATCCCAGCACTAGGGAGGCTGAGGCGGGAGGACCACTGCGAGTTCTCAGCCAGCCTGGACTGCGGAGTGAGACCTGGTCTCATAAAACAAACACACACAGGACACGACTGCTGGGGAGTGTCCTGTGTCCACACTCAGGCCCAGCCACTCAGCCACCACGCAGACGGGCCTGAACCCTTGGGGTCCAAGCAACCGAGAATCAGCTGCAAAGATGCCATCAGCTGCACTCCAGAGGCAGCCCCCGCAGACAGAGTCACCTGGGACCTGGGGACGGCACGGGGACGGCCGGCCCCACAGGAACGCGGCAACCTAGACCAGCACTGGCCTCACCAGGAACCGGCCTCCCCAGCCGCCTCGGGCAGTGAGGGAGCGGGTGAGGAGCACAGGTCTGGCCCGTCTGTTTGGGGTTCAAGTCCCCCTTCCCCACACAACCGGGGCCTTCACCTGGACCAGTCACGGGGGCTCTTCGGGCCCAGCTGTCCCCAGCTCACGGTGCGGGACAGGAGCAGTCGTGCCTGCCTCTGCTGGGACGGGCCCTGCGCAGAGGGCCGCCCCGGGGACAGCTGGCCCGGGCCCAAGCGAGGAAGCTTCACTGTGACTGCAGTGCCACCAATCACAGCTTCTCACGGGGCTCCCAGGGTGGGAAACTCAGACATAGACACGGGCTGCCGCAGGGACCCACGCCACCTCCCCAGCCACGCGCAGCTGCCCCACATCAATTCAGCGGGGCTGTCATCCCAGCATTCAGGAGGCTGAGGCAGGAAGACTGCAAGTTCAAAGCTAGCCTGAACTAGGGACCTAGTGAGACCCTGACATATATGATGGAACACGGGGGAAAATAGGGAGGCCCGCTGTTTCGGTCTATGTTTAGACGCCTCCTCCCAAGCCTCATGCGCTGAGCTGGGGTCTTTGGGCGGGGACGGGACTATGGGGCTGGGGTCAGGCCACAACGAGCTCACAGGAACGGGAAGCTTGCTTAGGGTGGCCGCTGAGGCTCACCTCCCTCCCTCCCTGTCCTTGGCTTCCCACCCGCCTGGGGCCCTCGGACTATGGACCTAGAGCTCCATAAACAAAACCAAAATAAACCCTTCCTTCCTCAAGCCGCGGGCGTCGGGCGCTGTGCCCCAGCGACGGATAGTGACTAAGACACCTGCGCAGAAAACTAAGCAAATAAAAAGCAAGATTAGCATGGGTAAGAAAGCCCAATGTCACACACAGAAGGAAATAATCCCGGTGCACCTGCCCGCTCCAGAGAGCAGGCGGAAGGAGCATGCTGCTGACAGTGGCTCACGGCGGCCACAGTGAGAGCCAGGGAGGGATTTAGAAGGACCGGGAAGCGGGCGGGGTGCTGGAGAGCCTCCTCCTCTGCCCGGCAGAAGCTACATCCCGGCAGAGAGCAGGAGGCAGAAGAACCAGCACTCATCTGCTTATATATTACGTGCGTGCGTGCGGAGGGGGACAGAGAAAAAGAAACGGGGGAGGGGAAGGGGAGGGAAGGGGAGAGAAAAAGGAGGGAGAGGAGGGAGAGGAAGAGGGAGATAGGAAGAAAGGGGGGAGGGGAGAGAGAGGAAGGGGGGATAGGAAGAAAGGGGGGAGGGGAGGGAGAGGAAGGGGGGATAGGAAGAAAGGGGAGGGGAGACGAGGAGAAGGAAGGGCAGCAGGGAGGCCAGGAGAAAACACCTTCAAAGCATCTGAAGCCTGGGGGTGGAAGGGAGGACCCAGATCTGCTGCGGCCCCCTGGAAGCCCTGCTGTTGTTCTTAGCTTCATTCATGCTTTTTCAAAGAAAAATAAATCATTCCAAGGGCAGAGTTTGTGAGAGAACCTGAGCTAGGACAGGCAGCCTCGCAGAAGGAATCCAAGCACGAGTCACTCCCAAAGGAGAGCATCTGAAGGAGCGAGGCCGAAGCCTCGACTTTAAGTTACAGTCATCTCCGGCCAAGCGAAATACATCCACACACTCCAACCCCTGGCTGGCGGTGGGGGTGGGGCTTATATCAGACCACCGAGGACTGCGGAGGGGTCCGAGGGGCGCCCTGACAGCGGGCCCTCCCCCCCCCCGCGGCACCCCGGCCGCCCATGAGTCCTGTGTGCTCCCAAGGGCGCCCTGCAGGCCAAGCCCTGGCACGGGACAGGGCAGGAGGCCTGCGTCCGCCTTCTCCGGGGGCGGGCGAGGGAATCGACACCCCACAGCCAGGGGCCACGGTGGACGCCCAGAGTTACCCCACCCCCGCCTACCTGTAAACGGTGCCCAGCTGGATGTAATGGAAGGCATCGATCTTCATCAGGACCGCCTGTACACGACACAGACACACGCAAAGTGAGCAACTACAACAATCTCGCGAAACAAGGCACAATCCGCCTCGTCTTAAAGCTGAAAGCCTCGCTTGTTATATAATGTGACTTTTATTTCTTTGTTTTCTACAGCACTGGGGATTGAACCCAGGGCCTTGCATCGGGCTATATCCCAGCCCATTTTTTATTTTTTGAAACAGGGCCTCACTAAATGGCTAAACTGCCCAGGCTGGGTTTGAACGTGTGATCCTCCTGTCTCAGCCTCCCACAGTGCTGGGATTACAGGGCTGCACCACCCCACCAGCTTGAAGTGCTTTTTGAGGAAACAGCTGGTCAGCAAAAGAAAACTAGATACGGCAACTGGCTCCTCCTCCAGCCCCAAAAACCGACAACTGCGAAAGAACAGTCTGCCAAGGAGGGGCGCGTGCTTCTGCCTTTCCAGTCCTCAGGCTCCTCAAAAAGGCTGTAACAAACCCACTGAATTGTGTGGTTCTGCAGCCCCAGAGGACACAATTTAAAACCAGGCCACCGCTCAGCAGAGAGCAGCGCCGCTTTATTTCAAACAGGGAACCATGAGGGAACCTACCCGGTGGACGTCGTAATGCAGCCCGCGGATCGCGAAGTTGGGGTCGTACTCGTACTTCCTGATTTCCGCAGGGTACTGCAAAGAGGAGAATGAGGTTCAGCTAACAGCACACCCCAGGGTCCTGCCTTGGCCCTGTCCAAGCCCCGGGAGCAGAGGCACCTGGGGGAGGCGGCTGGGGACAGATGACCACGTCCCTCTGCTCCGAGTCACCGCCTCCTGGCCCCCGGGCCCCCACCCTGCCTGGCGCCCTGCTACCCGTCCTGGTAGAGGTCGGCCCTGTCTCCACCCATCTCCTCCCCTCCTAACCCTGCCCTCCCTCCCCTCGGCCCCGCGTCTCTCGGACCCCACAACCCATCCACTTCTCCCCTGGACCCACTTCTGCCTCTTGTCTGCAGTGAGCAGGGACTGGACTGTCCCCTGTTTCCAGCACAACCTGGCTCCCGCCACCCTACGGCCCAGTGTTCACACTGCAGCCCCCACACCCCCATGCCGGGCTGGTCCCCCATCTCCCACCCTGCCCGCCTCAGGAGGCGCCCAGGTCTCCGGGCTGTCAAGTCACGCCTGCCCGCTGGTCCTGCCCAAGGGAACCAGCCTGGGCCACCCTGCCAGGCCAGAGGACGGAGTCTGGCTCAGCCCTCTGCCCCTCTGCTCCTGAGCCTAGGGGAGAGACAGCCCCAGAGCTGCCCGTGGGATGGAAACCACACCAGCAGCAACCTGGCTCATCCAGACCGCAGGAAGCGCTCGCCACGCCACACCGCACCTCCTCGTGGCCAGGCGACATTTCCCTGACCACCAGGCCCGAGGCACGCAGCGGGCCTTCAAGTCGGGCCGCAGGAAGCACTGACTCAAATGTCGCGCCTGGGCTCATCTCTCCAACACCTGTGGGCCCTGCCGAGACATCGCCCCGGGGCCTTTCCCACCCGTGGGCGTCTCCAGGCGTGAACACGGAGTGCTGCATCTCTATCAGCACCCGCGAGTGACACAGCACACAGCCACGCAGGCCCCACACGGCGTTGGCTCTGCCAGCAGCTGCGGCCTCCAAGCCTCTACCCTGTAGGGCGCCGAAGGGACCAGACGCCCTGGGCGCCCTGCGAGGCTGCCTCTGCCGAGCACTGGCTCTCCCGGGCCAGGCCGTCCTGTGACTGTTTAACCCACAAAACTGCGGTGTGCGGCAGCGGGGCAGCTCACGCCTGTTTCACTGTTGAATAATCTGAGGATCAGAGCCAGGAGCTCGCCTGGAGTCACAAAGCTACACGGGGCAGGCCGCTATCCGAACCAGGCCTGGTCACCCGACGTTCTCCCCCAGCCCCGCACGATCAACTCTGAAGCAACTCAGGGGCTCCACGCTGGACACGCACCGCCCCTGCCAGCTCAGACGTGCTCCACGGGTCTACTGAGGAGTCACGGGGTGAGCAGCGCGCAGCGGCACACACCTGTAATCCCAGCAATCGGGAGGCGGGGGCACAATCATTAAAAGTTTGAGAACAAACCAAAAATTTGAGAACAACAAAAAAAATCCCAACAGAGGAGCACCCTACAAACCCTGACCAGCACTCAGCCACCGAACCAGAAGGCGTCACAGACACCGCCAAAGCCACACAGAGCCTAAGGAGACAGAAAACGGTAGCTCGGCGTCATGAAAAGGGTTGTGCAGTAGGAAAAGGGCACCGGGTTCAAACAGGGAGTCAGAGAGGGCACGGAATGGGCCCCAGCTAACTGCACCTGCACCAGTGCTTTTTCATTCTAGGACCACCAGAACAAAAGCTCATGACGATTCTCCTGCCTCAGCCTCCTGAGTGCCGGGATGACAGGCGTGCGCCACCATGACCAACCGCAGCCTTTCACAACCTAACACCAAACGGCCACAGTGCGGACACAGGGCCCGGACCGCGGGCCGTGACGGGATGGTCAGCGTTGGGGGCGACAAGCGGGTGACCACCAGCGCCCACAGATGAGACGCCGGGCGCACGCGAGCGCGGGGGAGGCAGCCCAGAGCCCTCCCCAAACAGTTCCTCCCCCTCCCCGGCGGACACGTGCAGTGAAAACACAGGTCGTTATCACGCAGGCATCACTGCACTTTCCACATTTTCCACTTTTATCAAAATTTATTCTGGTTTATAAAAAAAGGTAATTATAAAGGAGCTGGCACCTCTCACATTTGCTTTTTGGAAAGCCTCTAAATTGCAGACCTCCTGTTCTATGACGTGTCTCAGAAACAAATGTCTTTCCATCCCCACAGGCGCACAAAAAGCATTTGGTCCTGGCAGGAGGAACAGAGCCTGCCCGACGCTTCTTGGGAGAATTATTTTGTTTCATGAGAGCAGGAGAAAAAGCTGCATAATCACAACGGGCTCCATCAATTCGCTGATATCACGAAGATGGTAACACTTCTACAGGCCCCGCACGGCCGTCACGGAAATGGGATGTCAGCGCTCCTCTGCCGAGGACTTCTTTTTCATCATCTATTTCCTCTCTGCGCCCCCAGATTTCATAAATGTTTTATGTTCATGAATGTTTCATTTGCATGAATTTTTATTTTAATCTGAAATAAAAACCCACAGGTAGAAGAGTGTTCTGAGCCCCACGGAAACAGACGGATGGGGCTCAAAGCCTGGGCCTGTTGGCCCGGGGCAGAGCCTGCAGCCTCAGGCCCGAGCCTCGTTTCCTCAGATGTAAAGCAGAAGGGTGAGGGCCACCACGAAGTCAGACACCATAACGATCGTACCGGGCGGCACCCGCCACGCAGGTTCTAGGCGCCCCTGAGGAAAGTGCTCACTAGACCCATTTTCCATGGGGGAAACTGAGGCCCAGAGACACTGGGTGATTTGATCAGGATGACGCGGCGAGTGACGACGACAGATGTGCACCCGAGTCAGGCTCCAGAGCCCGCAGTCCCCACCCAAGCAGTCGGTGAGCAGCGCTGTCCAGACTGTGGCCTGCACGTCAGAAGTGACATCAAAGTCCCAGAAAATGCCAAAGCTTGCTGGGCGTGGTGATGCACGCATGTAATCCCAGCACTCAGGAGGCTGAGGCGGAAGGATGCCTGCAAGTTCAACACTAGCCTGGGCTATGTGGTGAGTTCAAAGCCAGCTGGTACTACGTAGCGAGACCCAGTCTGAAAAAAACAAAAAAGGAAGGAGAAAAGGAAGGACAGGACAGAGGAGGAAAGGAGAGAAGGAAGGAAGGAGCCGCAGCTGGCCTGGGACTAGACGCCAACAGCCCCTGAGAAGGGCAGCAGCCGGGAGGCCAGGAAAGTCCTGTTACCTCTTCTGTGACAGTAAGAGGAAAGGCCATCTTTGCCAAACACCATTTCCACATTTCGGATCTAGAAAACATGCATGAGCTTCTTGGACCCAGTGATAAAGGAAAGCCGAGGGTCAGGGCTGGGTACAATACACACACCTGTAATCCCCGCCACCTGGAGGCTGAAGCAGGAGGAGCACACGTTCAAGCTCAGCCTGGCATCACGGAAAGAGAATCAGAAAGCATACCAGATCCAACAGTCAGGATCTAAAACTAGTGGCAACTGTGGCTGCATTAATAAAAGCACAGCATCCAGAACCAGGGAGGTGATGGTCTGGGGCCACACTCTCAGACCTCAGTTACACAGTGGCATCCTCGGAGAGCATGGGGCATCTGGAAAAAAAGAAGTCTTGGGGCCGGCAAGAAACGTGAGGCGCAGGGTCTGGGTTCCCAGGCCACGCCCCCACTCTGGTTACCTGTTAGGGGCTCTGCACTACATGGGCCCAGCCTGCTGGCCACACCCCCAAGCCTGCTGGGTCTCCATGACAACACCAGGACCCATCCATCATCACACCCGCCTTGCTCCAAGGCGGAGGTAGGAAGGCTCCAGGAAACACAGCAGGGATGTGGTGAACACGCTCAGCTCACGGAGAACTGGCCCGGGCAGAGGGAAACCCGCCCAGAGCTGCAGAGAGGCTGCGGCCGCCCACGCCCTGGGTGGGGTGGGGCTGCTTGCAGGAGCTGGCCCTGGGCACCTGGGCAACGCCGCGGCCCGGACTCTGACTGTGCCTTGAGCCGCTGCAGGAGGAAGAGTTCAGGTGCTCGGGGCTTGCTTTCTTTTTCCTCATTAAAAACTCAAAACTGCTCTGCATCAGAAGACAGTCAAATATTCTCCATGTAAGCAAGTCGAGCCGGTGCAGCAGGAAGACACCGCTAGCATTTGAGGGGGCTTCTAACCGGAAGTCACAAGGCCTCACGGCATGAGGCTTTGCAAGGAAAGGGCTGCCGGGACGGGAGAGCAGACACGGACGTGCGTCTCCCAAGTGCACCCTCAGGTGTTATTGTGCCCGAGAGATAAATGTAAGAGAACACAAAGACAAGAAAGGCAAAGATCTTCTCAGACACAGCTGTCTTCCAGCTCAGTGTTGCCTGGAAACTTGCAATGAAACAAGGCCCATTCCTTCCTTCTGCAACGATTTACTAAGCGATTTCCAGGAGCCCAGCAGGGGCACAGCCAGGGAGAGGACCTGCCCTCCCGTTTTGTTTTTTTGGTACCGGGGATCGAAACTCAGGACCTTGTGTTTACCAGGCAGACACTTGTGGCACTGAGCTACATCCCTGGCCCTCTCTCGTTCTTTAATACCCAAGGGGGCGAGGGGGGGGTGGGGCTGCAAAGGGATGGTGCACTGGGGACACAGATTCACAATGGCTGGCTTTACATTCTTCCCTGAGGGATGAACTGGAGGCTTGGGATCACTGGTGTCACCCCTTAGAGATTCCCCATCATCTCCTGGGGGAAATCCTCTCCCACCAAGACTAAGACTAGGACTAGCACTAAAGCCTAGAGATGCTCCAGGGCAAGACCCTCATTAGCTTAGGATCACCGATCACCGCAGCCCTCTGAGTCACCTGATACTCCCCCCCCATTACTGGGTACACCCACTAAGCAGGGGCTGGACGGAGTATCTTTGTCTCTGCCCATCCTGAGGCGCTGACCTCCCTGCCCCCCTTTATGCATTACTGCTTGTTTCTGTCTCTTATGTCATCCTTCACTGTACCCCTCCCACAGGCAGTTGGGGATCTTGGCCAGGTCCCCAGGACAGTAACCTTACCCGGTGCTCATTGATGAGAAGATCCCGAGCCGCGTTGAAGATCAGAGTGTGGAGGTGCTTTGAATAAAACACCAAGGTGTAGTCATAATCGAAGCCGTAGATCTCGATGTCTGACAGGCTCATTTCATTGTTGGAGAAAATGGCATCTGGATTCAGCAGGTTGCTCATAAGTGAAGGAACCAATTCTAGAAGTAAAGGGAAAAAAACGCCTGATGCCACATAAAAAATATGGGTTAGTGTGATTTCTAAACTAAATGGGCAAACCCGAGTCCAAGAGCCAGTGCTTCACTCCTAAGGTGCACTCACTGCAGAGGCCGCTCCTGCAGGGCCATGGGCCGCACCGCGGCATTCACCTGCAGTGTTCCAGAAGACAGACCCGCAGGGACAGGAAGTACAGGGTGGGTGCTCGGGGCTGTGCGGGGTGAGCGGGGACTGTGGTGGAGGTGGAATTTCTTTGGGACATGAGGAAAACACTTTAAAATTGATGTGGCGATGCTGGTGGCCGAAGGCCCCCTGTGAATATACTGAAAACCACTGAACAGGAGTCTGGCAGAGGGTGAATTATGTCGCACCTAAACACATCTGAATGAAACAGTTATTGGAAGCATATCTGCATCAACATCACAAAAAAAGATTGGCTTCGTTTGAAAAAATACATGTTAAGTAGATCTTTTGAGTAAATGAAGGTGACCAAGAGCTACAGAGGGAGAGAAAAGGAGAGGAGGGAAATTGGACTTTTTGAAAAGGGAATTTGGATGTGTCATGTACAAGTACCAACTCTCCACGGGGAACATGATGACCACCGGGTACTGTGAGAAAAGGGGGTCAGGGTCCAAGACAGGGAGGGGTGGGGGGAGAAGAAAGGGATAGGAAAAAGGAAAACAGGCACCAGTTCCTGACGATGAGTGTCATCATTACGTACTGTAAATGTGTACTAATTAAAAATGCACCCCAGTTAGCTTTTAGAAGATAAAATGATGAAATTTAAATGTCACCACCCACAGGAAAAAAAGCCGTAACTAATTTATGTATTTGCCACCAATATTTCTTTTTTTTTTTTTTTTTTTTTTTTTTGTTTTTCTCCGGTACCGGGAACCGAACTCACGACCTTGTGCTTGCCAGGCAGGCGCTGTGCTGCTGAGCTAAATCCCCAGCCCCTGATATTTCTTAAGTATTTTAAACAGTAGACCTCACACTACATACAGGTTTTTTTTTTTGTTTTTTTTTTTGTTGTTGTTGTTTTTTGGGTTTTTCTCCGGTACCGGGAACCGAACTCACGACCTTGTGCTTGCCAGGCAGGCGCTTTTGCCACTGAGCTAAATCCCCAGCCCCTGATATTTCTTAAGTATTTTAAACAGTAGACCTCACACTACATACAGGTTTTTTTTTTTGTTTTTTTTTTTGTTGTTGTTGTTTTTTGGGTTTTTCTCCGGTACCGGGAACCGAACTCACGACCTTGTGCTTGCCAGGCAGGCGCTTTTGCCGCTGAGCTAAATTCCCAGCCCCTACATACAGGTTTGCGGGGATAAAATAAAGAGGCAGAGAGACGCCGTCACGGGCCCTCCTGTGTTGCTCTGCTGCCTTCTGCCCACCATGAACTGCTTCTCCTTGCGAGGCCTGTCTGCCAGGCCACCCTGCCTTGGACCCAGCGCTGATGGACCGCAGCCTCTGCAAACTGTGAGCTAAATAAACCTTTTCCTCTCTGACTGCGGGTGTTGAGTATTTCGTCTCAGCAATGAGAAAACAAAGACGGAGACGTTACACTTTACATATAAGATGCCGGTCCCCCAAGTCTCATGTGTCCTGATTTGGAGCTTTTCAGAGGCTGCCAGATCATGGAGCTGCTGTATCACCCGCAGCCTAACCACTGAGGGATCCAGGGCTCAGGGCACTCTCAGGCCTGGTGAGAAGAGGTGGGCCGCTGGGGTGCGGCCAGGAGGTGGGCTCTGGGGCTAGGGTGAGAAGAGCTGGACCCCCACAGTCGAGGCTGTTTTCTGCCCGTGACCTCACAGCGCCGTCCCTGTGATATCAGTGGCGCAGCGTCACTGCGGAGTGACCCAAAGCTCCACTTTCACCACGACCTTTGCGAGGGAAGCCCGGGCAGCTGCTCTAACGGAAGTTTATATTTAGAAACGGTGCTGGCAAGAAAGCCTGCCCCTGCCCTTCTACTGCAAGAGGCCGCGCGGGAAAACCCTGCGGCCACACGGCCCAGGGCTGCGCCGGGGAAGCCCAGGTCACACCCACCACACAAAGGCCAGCGCCTGAGCGGCCCGAGGGCTCCTGCGGCACAGGCGACAGTGCCGGGCCTGGCAGGATCGCAGCCCCCTGCAACCATGACCGCAGAGCAGTTGGGGTAGCAGGCTCGATCTCGAGGCAGGAAAGCGAGTCGCGCTCCGGGAGAGAAGCGGTTGTCCAGACCTCAGACCAGAACAGGTGGTGCAGGCCTGAGAGTCAGCCCGGGGCCTCCCGAGAGCAGAAGCAAGGGCGGTTTCCAGGCTGGAGTTCCTGTGTACACAGGGATGAGGGCAGCAAACCGTGCGGCTGGAGCAGGGGAACAGTGAGCCAGATCCGCCAGAGCACAGCGCCCGGAGCCGCCCAGAACCGCCTGGAGCCGCCTGGAGCCACCCGGAGCCGCCCGGAGCCGCCTGGAGCCACCCGGAGCCCAGTCAGGGCCCTCACAGCGCCTTCCCACGGCGCACCGGAAAATGCCCTGAACGCCCCACCACAAAGCAATGTGTGGGCTCGCCGCGTGCTTCAGTTGTGGGAGACTTTGGTGTGTGTATGTTTGCTTGCTTGCTTATCTGCTTGGGACAAGGTCTCACTATGTAGTTCAGGGCAGCCTTGAACACACATAGCCCAGGCTGGCCTAGATCTCTTGGTGATCCTCCTGCCTCAGCCTCTCACATGCCCAGCTGGAGATTTTTTTACTGTTAGAATACACGTAACATAAATTTACCAACTTCGGTATTTTAACATTCAGCCAACTAAGGACACTCACTTTCTTGCACTAGCATCACTGATACCCGTCTCAGAACTCTCCCCATCCTGCAGAGCTGACACGCTGCTCCCACTAAGTAGCAGGACTCCCTCCCCACACAGCCACTGACCCACTGCCTCCAGGAGCCAGACCTTGTGGGACCTCAGAGAAGTGGAGCCACAGGACACCTGTCCTTCGAGTGATGCCCTTGGGCAGCCACAGGGAAGTAAGTGTTGGCCTTCTGCCCTTTTCCAGGCTGAATACTACTCCACTGTGAATGCCCCACCCTGCCCCACCCTGCCCCACCGTGAATCCAGCACCCACTCTCGGGTCGCCTCCGCCTTTGGCGGCGTGAGCAGCGCTGCCGTGACCGTGGGCTGCCACAGCTGTATGTCAGGTCCCCGCGTTCGGTCCTCCCGGACACACACCCAGGAGGGAATTGCTGAGTCGCACAGTAATCCCATTTTTAACTTTTTGAGGAACTGTTACACTGTTCTCCACAGCAGCTGCTCCAATTTGCTTTGCTTTTTAGATCACCTCACAGTGCCACTCCGCGTCTAAATCCCACCAGGGACGGACAAGAAGTCAGAGCTTCGGCACAGAGCTCGGACTGGGCCCCGCAGACCGCGCTCCGCAGGTCCAGCTCTTGCCAGCTGCCTCTCCCCTTCATGTTCAGAACTGCTGAGTGGCAGTCCCCTGACAGGCAGGCCAGCGCTCTTCACACAGCTGGGCAGGGACAGCACCGCAGAGCCCCAGGGCCCGAGTCGAGTCCAGGGGAATGCTCCCAGCGGCCTGGGAAAGGTGGCCTGGCTGTCCCTCAGCCCCGGCACAGCCTGCAGAGCTCTGTTTCCTCTCAGTGGGACGGCGGGAAGGAGTAAGGGACGCACGGGAGGGTTGCCCCCCTCGCTCTTCCTCTCTGCCCTCCCCTCCTAGTGCGGCTCAGCCCTGGCCAGCACATCACAGGTACAAATGACAGGCGACACGCATCACTTCCAAAGCAGACCTTGTCACATGACACGCAGCTGCCGCGAGACAAGACCAAGCCACCCCACAGCCCAAGGGCTCGGCTGAGAGGTGCCCTGAGACACCCCGCGGCACGAGCCGGCCTGACCTCACTGCATCCTGCAGTCCTCAGCTCCCTGGAACTCCTCCCCCGCCCAGCACTCCGCCTGGGTGGCCCCATGAGTCCCCTCCTGCCCCTAATGGGCCAAGGCTCTGATCAAGTCAGTCTCCAGAGGATCAAGTCAGCCTCCGGATGCGTAGAGAATTCCAGGCTTGCAGCACTCCTTTCTCCCATCTCAGACCTAAGAGGGTGTATGAGGTGTGCGGCTCTCCACCAGCACCCTGAGGAAGACGCCAGGGCAAAGGCAAGTCCAGGGGCAGGGAAGCACCCAGGACATCGCCTGAGCCTGGGGTCAAATTCCTGCGGTGACCAGGTCCTCTGGGCTCCACTGGGAGATCCGTCTCCAAAAAACAAGACAAAAGCAACCAGCTACTTACTGCCTTTCTTTCCTTTACATGCTTTTCTACAGTAAAACATGTTCTGAAATAAAGACTGCATGAGCTTCTGCTGCTCGGGTGCGGCTGGCAGCGCTTGCTCTTTGCGAAAGGACCGGCGCCGCGCGGTGCAGGGAGGAGGGCAGGGTGCAGCGCCCAGGGCAGGCTGCTGGCGGCCCAGGCGCAGCGCGAACTTTCCGGGAAGTCTTGGCAGCAGGCCCCAAGAGGCCTTTTAAATATTCACACCCTTTGACCCAGTAAGTGTCTTTCTAGGAATCTATGCTAAGGAAATCAGAGCTGTGGACCAAGTGGTGTAAACTGACTGGTCACAGTGTCACTACGAAAGCATGTGAAAATCGGGGGAGAAGCACGTTCACCTCCGATGTCTGGACTCAGGACCGAGCACATCAACAAGCACGCGACCAAAGAGGAAAGCGGAAATGGGCCTGCAAACTTCCTGGTAACACAAACCGCAGCCCGGAACCCCAACAGGGATGTCCCGGTACCCAGGGTCACGATTTAATTCCGTGTAGGTGTGACTATATTTAAGTCACTGGGCTATGATTTTTTACTTTTGGGATATGCCCTAGATTCCAAGCTGTTATCCTTTAAAAAAAAAAAAAAGGAATATATAGATCAGAAGGCCCTGAAGAGGAAACAAAAGGGGGAAAAAGAAGAACTTTTGGGGCTTGGAGCATAACTTTTTCCTAA